TTTTTCCCACTGATTTAATAAACATTTTAATTTTGATATAAAAATAGTAATATAAATTTTCATTTAAAAAAAACAATATATTACTAGGTTTTATAAAAAATATACAAAAAGTTCAGGGTTCAAAAGTTAAAAAGAATTATTTATTATTGCCGTTAACAATAAAGAAAAAAAAATCGAGACGAATGCATTCAACGGATGACAGATTTCATTGAAAATACGAAGAATTTTTTTCCCCTACCAAATATTAACCAATAAGGGATAAATGAAAATACAGACATAATGAACATTCAGACACCCCTTGTCCAGTTTGAAGAGGATTTAAAATAACCTTGGAAACGTGAATTATGATTTTAGCAAATGTTTTAAAAACCCAGTAATTTTAAAAGTTGATCTAAAATTCGCTTGAGGATGAATCTTGGAATTAATTTCTTTAATTTAATTACAAAAATTAAATTCATAAGCTTTTATTTCCATTTTTAAAACATGGTTAGAACTAAAAAAAAAAATTTTCATATTTTAAAAAAATCAATTTATAATATATATATATATATAGAAAAATAAAGAGAGAGAGAATTTAGATAGAGAGAGTTTAGAAAATATTATTCAAATTTGATTTGAATGAGAATGAATCATAACCCTTAATTTTTTGAATTAAAAACCTTTCCCCTTCTATTTTATATAAAACTTATTCAGTCATTGACGAATTTATATATATGAAAGTATATATAAAAATTACGAAATTCAATTGTCCGTCAATAAGTATTGAAACATTTTAATTCTAATTTTACGCATATAATTTGTTTAGCTTGACTCGCAATATCTGCAACTCTTAGAATTAAATAACCAAAAATCAAGGAATTATTCACATTTCTTAAGTGCGGATGACATTCGAGGTACTTACAAGGATATTTAAAAAAAAAAGAAAATATCTGTTTCAAATATAAATTTATCGGAACGAAACCGACATTTAATATATTTATAACTTATTTCATTTCATTTTTTTTCTTTGAAGATTTTTTTCAATAAACAAATATATATATATATATATATATATATATATATATAATATATCATCATTTTCATTAAATAATATACAAAGTATTTTGTTTTTATTTTTTTGTAAATTATTTTCATATAACGTCTGATAATTTAATAATATTATCATTAAACGAAAAAGAAAATCACAATATTGATCCATATTTTTAATCCTATCTAAGTTTTTCTTGATATTTAAGCCATTATCAAAGATGACACAATTACAACACAATATATTAAGCAATACACGGACAAAAATGTGATGAGAGTCTGTTTCTGTTTACATATTTGATTTCCAAGCAACGATAAACACATGCATATAAGACGCTGGAAGCGAAAATCGCGTCGCAGCTCATGACGTCACACATGGCAACGCGAGAGTTGAATTGGAGAAGTATTAAGTATTGGAAGCCGTTGGTATAAACCATTGGCTTCTGTTACCAATTATAGACATTTAAGAATATTTGTGGAGATTTCATAGTTAATTTTGTTCAGGTTAGGTTTCAACTGTTTTATGTATATAGCTTCAAGAATCTTTAGTTTTTGTTTATTGTTTTCATGTTTAAGTATAATTGAATATATAGTGAACGCCCCCCGTCGCTTTCACCATATGATGTCCAAACAACTCAATTCGTAAAATCGAACACCCAGACAAAGCGTACATACGATTTGGTTAGAATGTGTCAATGCCCACTGGAACTTGAACCTCCTATGTTAAACGTTTATCAACATATATATATACACATAATTGACAATTAGTATATGACTTATTACATTCAGCAACCCTCTACCATGAGTGGCTCTTTACCCGTTGTACAGTGTGAAAAATAGCTTAAACTGTATGAATAAACCATTTTGTCAAAATATATCGCCATTAAAATTGAAACCGAAAATCAAATTAGAACATTAGAATTTAATTAAAAAGAATTAAATTATGCAGAACATCACTGGAATAAATAGAATTTACGTCTCCTGCAGAAATTGTAGATTATAGAATGTAAAAATTTGAATAATCGAATACCGCAATTCCCCATGTATAATACGCATTTTTCTAAAAAAAAAAAAATAAGTAAAATAAGAGATGCGTATTATACACTGACACAAAAACCTCTAAAATTATTGCCATAAAATAATTATCCTAAGACTAAAATTATTATAGTGATTTTCCAAAAGTAGCTTAGATGTGGCACAAGGCCGAAAGAATGGAGCACCTAGTGAGGATCGAACTCACTACTCAGTCGTAATTGTCAAGCTTGCTAACCATTACACCGCCTTGAGGTGCCCAAATATAATTATTATACGTTTAAAAACATTTTTTTTTAAATAATAGTAAGAAACCCTGGCCGTAATAAAATTGGAGAGGTACAATTTATAGGGTTTGATTACAAAACAAATAGTACGTATTATGCGTGAGTAGAAGCATTTTCCCCCACTATCAGCACAATTTTAGGTGTGCGTATTAGGGATGAAGGCATGTTATTAATGGGTAATTAAGGTAAATAAAAAGAAGCATCTTATTTCGAACCGACGTGTCTCATTAAATAAAAAAACGCAAAAAAAATCTCCCATTTAGGAAAATAGCTTAGTATTAGTATGGTTCAAACACATATACACTTTGACACGTCGCATCTTTTCTGTTAATTCACCACAACATAAAAAGAATTTATATTTACTAAAATTCACCAAAATTCTTTTTGAGGCCATGTTTATTGACCTTTAGGATTTTTAAAATGTGGGCGTTCGTTCGTTCCGATAAACAAGCCGAAAACAGATTTTTTTTTTATAAAAATATCCTTGTAAGTACATCGAATGTCACCTGCACTTAAAAAATGGAAATAATTCCTTGATGTTTGGTTATTTTTATTTCTGACGGTTGCAGATATTGCAAGGCAAAAAAAAAAAAAAAATTTGATTTAAAATTTCTAATCCCAAAAGAGTGCCAAGAAATGAATAAAAAAGAAACTTTGATTTAAAATTTATAGTTTTGGAAGATTGCCAAATGTTTAAGAAAAATAACAAAACAAAACAAACGCGTATTGATTTAGAATTTATAAATTTAAAAGAGTGTTAAAAATTTAATAAATAAACAAATTGATTTAAAATTTCTTGTGGTGAATTAATATTTGCGATAAGTAACTTTACATTATTTGGGTTGAATTAACAGAAAAAAAAGAAATCCAAATTTCGTTTTTAGCTAACGATTTTTTCTTTTTGTATGTTTCCAGTTCATATTTCCGTAGTTTCAAATGAATACTTAGTTATTTTCAAACATATTTCAGAGAAATCTTCCCTTTCCGAAATTATAATCTACAGTTAATATTTACGTATACGGACAAAAATTCGCCACATTAAACCAATGTATCTGAAACCCCCCACACACACAACTTTTTTTTAACTTCTTTACATTCTATATTTAAGCAGTACAGTTTTTACTTAAAGGGATTTATAAAGAATCTGCTATTATTGTAGAGATGTCGATAATGATTGACTTAAATTCCTTCAGGATGGCAAACGGGAGAGGATTATCCACTCCTTCTCAAAGATTAACGAATTTAGCATCCAGTTTAAAATATCAAATGACAAATCTATGTGTTTCGTGTCTCTAGCTTTGTAAAAATAAAAATTAAATCGTCTGTTAACTTGTGGCGGACCTGTCTACATTTTAACGCACATTACTGAGCCTGAATATACCTGTTGAGAAACGCTGGACTAGACCATAGTGATTGCCTATAAGCAGCCTAGATGCGGCAAAAGGTCGAAAACATGACGCACCCAATGAGAATCAAAGTCGCTATTCAGTCATAATTGAGATAAGCTTGTTAACCATGACAACACGTCGAGGCGCCCTGCGGACTAGACTATGTAGTAACTCAAATATTTGCATCTCAAACGATATCAAATTTTTATGAATATATTTGATTTTGCTCAGCGATAAACCAGTTTAAGGTGGAGCAATGGTTAGCGGCTCGCGTTGAGGAATCGGAGAGCTGAGTTCGAATTCTAGTCTGATCCATTACTTTCGCAAGGGTATTAGCACGTATTAGCTTCTCCCCCGTCCATCTATGGGTGAATAGCAGACTGGGTTCTGTAACCTTAGGTGGCGAACAGTCTATGAGAATGAAAAAAATCTGAATTCAAAACTGGCCTGGAGAGGGTTAAGCTCCATCAGGCAATCTTGCCCAAGAAACAATACTTCTATTGTAGCTGCAATAAACTTTGTGACTCTACGGGTAACAGGATAAAAAAAACGGTTTAATTTCATTTGGCTAGACCAGTTGTTTCTGAATCATTTTAGTTCACAGCGCACTTTTAGAATAACTAAAACTCCGAGACGTACTTTAAATTTTAATAAGGAAAAATTCAGAATGAAATTTGAAAATAGCAAAATAATAAACAAGTATCCTGAAATTGATTTTTAAAACATCGTATATTTAAGCTTGTAGTATAACTAAAGCACTTTGGTGTACTTTAAATTTTAATAAGGAAAAATTAGTCATGAACTTGGGAAATAGAAAAATAAAGACGTCTGAAATAAACGTCTATTTTTAAGACATTACATTGTATATTTAAGTATGCTTGTTTAAAAAAAAATTGAATGTTTTGCCTGATTATTCGATAAAAAGACTCTCATTTCCACACCGATGAAATTTATGAAGAATTTGCTATTTTGTTCGACGGGCCGATAATGATCCCTTGAATGTTTGGTCTGATTTGCGATAAACAGGCCCTCATTTCGGCATTAATGAAATTTATAAAGAACCTGCTATTGTTTAAAAGAGGCCGATAATGACTGATTTAAATCCCTTAAGATAGGTAAAACGGAAAGGATTATCCGCTCCTTGTTAAGGAATAACAGATTCAGCATATATACAGCGAATTACGAACTGAATTCAATCTCCGGGTGTAGATTGTCCTCATTCCTTGCCCGTGGATAGATCTGATTTTTGTACTGCTCTGTTATTGTTCGCACTGTTTTGAAAACAGCGGGTCCTGTACAATCACCGAAGTTAAGCAACGTTGAGCCTGGTCAGTACCTTGATGGATGACCGCTTGGAAATACAGATACATTAACTTTGGATGTGTGGATGGTGTAATGAATAATAGCACGAAATTCTTGATCGGAGAGACGAGTTCAAATTCAATTCGGCTTCGTTACATCCACTTACACGTAAATATCCTTGGAAAAAAAATTAATCCACTGCTTATATCCCAGCTATGGATTAATTAGCTATACTTGTATCTCTAAATCATTAGTATCTCCCTCCACCCGCAAAAAAATAAAATTCTAAAAATATTTTCTGGTTTTAAATAACCTGCAAAGGGGTGATAAGTCGTAAAATACGAATCAATCAATCAATGAAATTCCGGTTAGCTACACATGCATGAATTTAGTGAAATATATCATGGCTACAAAGTGAGGGATCAGTTTATATATTGATTGTAATATAGAATTGTTCCCTCACTTTATATCCATATTATAATGTCTTGTTTGTTTATCAAATTCTGATGAGGTATGAATCCACACGTTCTCTCTCAAACTATGGGTTAATTAGTAAGACTTTTATCACTAAACCATTATTAATTCTAAAAATAAATTCTTCGAATCTAAAAATACATTCTGGCTCTAAATAACCGGCAAAGGGTTGATAAACTGTAATAAACCACTCAATCAGTCGATCAAGTACCGAAAGCATGAAAGTAGAGAAATGTAGAGAACCATAGTGTGGTCACAAAGTGAGGGATCAATTTATATATTGATTACAATGTAGAATTGATCCCTCATTTTATATCCATATTATAATGTCTTTGTTTATCAAATTCTGATTAGGTATGAATCCACAGGTTCTTTCTCCAGCTATGGGTTAATTAGTAGACTTAGAAAACGAATCAATAAATCAAAAACGGAATCCAAGTACACACTGCCCGGCTCAAGGATTGAAATCACAATTACGCTTTACTCCACTACTGTAAAATAATCTAGTTGATTATAATGTTTGTTCGTGAAAGATTATGCATGTTTTTTTTTTATTATTAAAGTATCATTTTCTACATTAAGATTGATTAATGCTTGATTTAAAAAATAATATTTAAGGTTTTTATTAAACCACATGTTCCTAGCATCAACTGGAACTAAAGCGGCTTATTAGACGGATCATCGAATGTAGTTTATCGCCTTACCCAGGACGGTTGATGTAGTTTATCGTCATACTCAGGACGGAAACCTGTTAAGAAGGGCCTAGCTATGTTCTCTTCTTCTTCTTATAACGGCATTCACCCGAGGTGGGTTGAGCCGGCTCCAATATTGGAGTTTCATGGGAATTTGGAATTCACAAGCGGTCCCCAACGCGCATGTATAGCACATGAGATTTGATTATAGTGGTGAAGGTTTCGTTCAGGACCAGCCACACTTTTTGAAGGGCCGATTACAGAGACCTGGTACACTACGTGCCACAAGGTCCCCAAACGACCCTCCGCAGGTTTTGTATTCGGAGTTTTCCTTCTCCTAGACCAGTTGCCATCCAAGGCTATAGAACCCAGTTTGTCCTGCTATTTACCCACAACTTTGAGAAGAAGAAGAGGATTCACACCTTCTCAAGGGTATTAGCACGTAAGTGAATGTAATGAATTCGACTGGAATTCGAACTCGGCTCTCTGATTCCTCAATCCAAGCCGCTATCCATTACTCCACTAGCTATAGGAAAATAGTTAACTCCAAATTCGGGTCAAAACACTATGAAAGTATAAAAATATATATACTAAAAATCCAAGCAATGCTTTCTTTGAAAAAAAATGTTACAAGTGATATATTTTTGAAAAAAAAAAAACAAACTATTAATACATATTCTATTCATACGAACCTATCTTAAAAATCTTGTCGGTATTAAATAACCCATTGAGGTGTTGATATGTCATAAAACAAAATAAAACAAACCAAATATTTCACCCCCAGTAACCCTTTGTGTTTTCGCGATAATATAGACTTGTTTGGATGGAAATTATGGAAATATCTTAGTGAAATTTTCACACTCTGAAATTATAGTTTATGTTTTTAGTTAAGGTAAATTGACAAAAAGAACGAATTAGTTTAATCCAATGTCAGGATGATACGGTTAGAAATTGTTATTAGATAATTAAAAAGGTTTGGGCTTTGGGGTTTTACTTTTTGTTTTGATTGACTCCAAAAAACGTGCCTAGATGGAAAGAACTTTGTTTTATAATACAAAAGACGAACACGCCTCTTGGATTCACGCAGGAAAATTATTTATTTAATTATTTTTTGGCGTTGTTGTTATTTTTGAAAAACAGTAAACGGGCGAAAAAATATGACAGATATTTTTTCAAGTTCGTGCGGTGCAATCGGTGACATCAAATGGAAGCGGAAAGCGACAAGAAGCACAACTCGTCTTTGAAGTTGAGCGACTGAATAGGAAAAGAAAATGTCATGCAGTTCGAGGTTAGATTCGTTTCACTGCATAAAAAAAAAAAAATGTCTGTGACATTTCGCTGAGTCTGTGACGGAGATGATTTGCTTTCTCATGCTTCGTTCATTTTTTTCGGCTTTAGCAAATTTTTTCCTGTCCAGAAGTGAAAAGTTTTCCCAGCAACGCGTAAGAGCATGACGAGACACAATAGCTTTATTCCGAGTATCTTTACTGTCTCAATCACAATCTTTCTTTTGATTTCAACTGAAAATTTCAACTTTATCCGGGGCTGTATAAAGGCGTGTATTGTGGATCTGTAGAAAAGGTTTATAGATCATTACAACTGCGTTTAGCGTATACAGAATTTTTGACATTTAATATTCAAGTCTCGAGTCTTTTGAAAATTTTAATTATGCTTTTGAACATTCACATCTTACGCACGTACACAAGAAATGCTAAACTTCCGTTTCACTTTTCCGATGTTTTTTTTTTTTTTATCCAATCTGTCTTCGTTTTCCTTCTTCCCATATCAAACCATCATTCTCAGCTTTCGGCTTTCAGAGCCAACTACAAGTGTAACCCGGATATAAGAGAGTTATCGGGACCAGAGAAGAAGTCTCTTATATCCGGGTTTCTCTTATATCCGGGTTTGGTCTATTTTATATACATTAACACAGGCTCTAATTTGGGACCAGAGAAAATCTCTCTTATATCCGGGTTTGGTCTATTTTATATACATTAACACAGTCTCTAATTTGGGACCAGAGAAAATCTCTCTTATATCTGGGTTTCTCTTATATCCGGGTTACACTGTATAAAATTCTTTTCCATTCTATACTGTCATCCGCACGCCATATTGTAGCATAGAGTCTACGGGTTTGGGCAATAACTCTGACGACCCTAGCTATGATCGTAGCTATACACAAGCCGCTACTCGCCCACTGGCGTATCCCCGATGGCAACGCCAGCGGTCCTCTGGTGGAAGCTACTGGAAGGCCACCGGCGGACCAACGGTGAGGCACCAGAGATCCGCAAGTGGTGACATAGCCGACACAAACACGTCGGCGGTCCGACAGCTGGCCACCAGCAATAAACGCTAGTGGCATGCCACCGAATGGCAGATTAGTGGAATTGCTGTTATATCCCTATTTTTTTTCCTGAACCTGAGAACTAAAAAGAAGATTAAATTTATCATCTTGACCTTAATCTATGACAATGGTTTGATTCTGGTTGGTTGATTTTCTTTAGCGGTATATCAACACCTCTATGGGTTATTCAATGTTTTGAACACATTTGTATGTCTTTAACTAAATATATTTTAAATGTAATAGTATTCCTTCAACTACAGATAAAATTTCTCATTCTATAAAACGGTATTTTTATGCTTCGATAGGGTTTTGTTTTTGTTTTCACTATTTGACCCATAGCTGGGACCCTAGTACGTGCTACCATTCTGGGTACGTGTGGACATAGGAACAACGACAAAGTGATGGTTACACGCTCCTCAAAGCCTCCAATCAGTGGCCTTGATGCCGGATGTAGTTTATCGTCAAATCCGGAAATGCAGTGTTTTTGATCTAAGCATAATCATTCGACTGAAATCATCACTGCCATTAATCTTTAAAATAAAGTAGAAACTTTAATTCCAACGGATAATATATTGTTAACGACAGATATATTTTGGAAAGCTTTTGCAATCCTAGATCACTCTTGAGAAATAAAAGAAAAGGAGACTAAGCTATATTGTATTATAAATTCAAATTAACGGAAAAAACAAACTCGATTGAACTGAGTTAGCGAGACAATGCGTAAGCTGAAAGCGTGAAATTTGCTTAAAGAAAGAAAGAAATATCATTCGAAACCAGAGTAAGAAAAATACTCGTATTTTTCCTTGAAGTAGAGAAATCCATGTTGGGTGAAGCTGTGCTGCAATCAACTTTATTACAGATATTTTCGTTACTTGCTATTATCATTTGTTCAGTTACCCATCTTTTGTTGGATTTCTCAAGAGTGATCAAGGATTGCAAAATCTTTCCGATATATATCTGTTTTTAACAATAAATTATCCGTTGGAATTGTAACTTTTTGTTCTTTTGCATTCAAATACACCAATGGAATCAAGCGTTTTTACAATTAGAAATTTTTTTGTTTATTTTCTCTTCCAAAAACTTAGATTCTACAGATTTTATATAATTTTATATATGAGAAAAAAGTTTATAAACTTAATTCTAGGAATCACAAGTCAAAAGCAAAAAACAAAACAAAAACAAAAAAAAGCGCGTACTTAAAATATCCAAACAAAAATGACATTAAATTTTTAATTATTCATTTTATCCTAAAGTAAGTTTAGGAGAATATAGGGATTTTTCAGGCGTTGCTTAGATACTGCACAAGGCTGAATGAAGGGGACACTCGGTGAGGATCGAACTCACAATCCAGTTTTAATTGTTTTAACGAGACAAGCTTGCTAACCATTACACCACTTTGAGGTGCCCAATTTTAGGGTAATATATCTTAAATAAAAAAATAGTTTCTGATTTATCCCCTCCCTGCAGTAGACGCCAATTATTATATTTTCAATCATTATTGAAATTTCTGTCGAAAATTTTTCACAAACCTGTGGCACAAGACGTGTCA